AGCTGGCGTGGCTAGCACTCTTAATGTAATTTTTGACAAAAATTACCTCCCAATAAATAAATATTCAATATTTTACACTGTAAATAGCTGGGTAAATTAAATAAGATATGCTGGTATTGAGGAAGAAGTTATTTCAACGCTGCCTGCCCTTAAGAAAAAAATTCTTTTTGAGTGGCCTACCACCTTAACAAAAGTACACAACAGAGCATTTTCAGAACCTAAGAACTTTTCTGTGAAAGGCACAAAGCCATAGAAACTTGCAATATAGTCTCCACAGCTGAACTCAAACACTGGCTGGCCACACCAAGCTCGTACAGATTCTCTTGATATTTTCTATCGAAATTACCCCACCTCCTTTGAAGACTCCTACCCTAAATGTTTAGCATTCACAGCACTGCTCTGACCTGGGAATAGGGCTGAACATAAAGCATCTGAAAAAATACTCACGATTCATATTCACTGCATGTTCAATTGATTAATTGATGTGTGGAGTTTAACGTCCCAAAACCACCATATGATTGAAAAACGCCGTAGTGGAAGGCTCCGGAAATTTCGACCACCTGGGGTTCTTTAATGTGCACCGAAATCTGAGCACACAGGCCTACAGAATTTTCGCCTCAATCAAAAATGCAGCCGCTGTAGTCGGGATTCGATCCCACAACCTGCGGGTCAGTAGCCGAGTACCTCAGCCCCAAGACCACCGTGGCGGGGTTACGTGTTCAACTGTAAACTCCCGACTGTGAATGAATCGGTTTCACAGAAGAAAGCGACGTGAAAAAAGGAATTCACACACAACTGCCTCACAGTAAAAACATGCTTGCAAAATTAAACCAATTATGTTCCAGTTACAAGGCACCACTGTATCTACATATCAACTTAAAGGGGTCATGAACTACCTTTTGAGCATGGTGATGAAACCCATCTCTTGAGCAACAGGCACTGCTTTGAATAGCTCAGCCAAATCACACAGCCATGCACAGCAAAGTCTGCGTAGAAGCAGGGCATGAAGTTGCCATTTTCTTGCAGGTATTATCAGCCACATAGCCTTCTGTTGTTGGTTGGTTGTTCCTCAGAGTCCTGGCACAACCCACTACGGGGGATCGGCCATGAAACGGACGGTGCCTCATTTGTGCGGTGGAATTGTTTTACCAGCCGGATTATTTAGATAACAATGTTTAAACAAAGAACCAATTGGTAAACGATAGATTAGAAATAAAATAGAGGTAATACAAAAAATGAACAGGCTAATATGATTTGAAATAAAGTGAATTTATGCCTCAGCTTAACATTCTAATCGTTTTGTTGCCTTTAGAAAATCGCATACGGCCTCGCAAACATTCCTGTGGCTAAATCCCTTTTCAGTTGCTCCAAAGGAGAGAACCACCGAAAGGGATAAATTTAGAGCCAACTTACGGAGAGGTTCTTCTAACAGTCTCTTCCTTTGGTTTGTGTATAACCTGCATGTTAAGAGGAAATGGTGAAAGAATTCACTCTCGTTACAGTGGAGGCATAGGGGAGACTGTGCCAGACCAGACCTGTGTAGATAAAAGTTCAGGGGTGGGACTCGGCATCTTAGTCTCATAATTGATATCTCCGCCGTTCTAGAGGAGTACCATCGATTTTTCCAAGGGTACTTAAGATGGGAAAAATCCGATGTTGCCAAGCGAGATGTTTCAAACTGATCTGACATGACAAATTTTTCAAAGCGTGCCACGGCGATAAATGCTAGCGTCGGCAATATAGAAATTATGGGATAATTATGTGAGGCCACTGCGAGTGCATCTGCATATTCATTGAGGATTAGACCTTTATGCCCTGGTATCCACACCAAGCGAATGAGTCGTAAATGTCTTGGGGCAAGGTCATAAAATACTTTTAAAGCATTGGACATATTAGGCACAGTTAATGAACTACACACAGACAAGCAGACTGAAAGAATAATAGCATCTGTTACTGATTGAGGTAATTTTCGTAACGCTAAGGAAATTGCCAGTAATTCTGCTTGATAAATAGGTGTGAAATCAGGTAAACGAATCGAAAAAGACCAATCCAACACTGAAGATGCAATTCCAACCCCTGCCTTCGCGAATTGAAGCATCAGTTGCTATTACAATCTTTGCATCTAATCTTGCCAGGTGGTCTTTCAAAATGGCATTTAGATATCTGCTGGGAAGATTTTTGCAATTGTTAGGAAAAATATTGTCAAATTCTATTTTCATTGTTTGAATAGGTATTCTTAGTACCCGTACTTCACGAGGGTTAACATGTAATGTTTCCAAGAGCTTCTGTACGACGATGACTTGTGGACACTTTAATCTAGACCACTGTTGGTTAAAAAAGGACGTCGGCTCATTAATAGAAACATATTGTGACCTCCTATGTGGGGATGCGTATATTTTTAGGAAGGTACGAACTGCTAGTATTTGGAACCTAGCACGAAGAGAAGGCAGACACGCTTCTTTATATAAAACATTAATTGTGACAAATTTGGGAGCCCAAGACATAAACGTAACGCTTCGTGTTCTAGTAGTACCAATGGTCTAATTTTGTAGGCGGGTGCTCCAGAAAACAAGACACAGCCAAACTCCAATATTGGGCGAATATACATACAATATATCATTATTCGCACATCACGACGTAAACCACAACGTTTATTGCTGAGTCTACGAAGCCTTCTAAGCGCCTGTGCTCCTTTAGCTGCCATATTTTCTATATGCGGACTTCAATTTAGGTTTTCAGTATAAGTCACTCCCAAGTATTTAATCGATTTCACCTGCGGGATAAAGTCCTGTCTGTTAAGTACGGAAATCTGCACTGGAACACTTACAGGAAAAACTATGACTGCACTTTTCCTGATGTTTAATGATGGATTAATGTCATCTAACCATGTGTCCAGAGCGTTCATATAAAACTGTAGCATCTGATATAATGTATGTATATTTGTAGCTGTAGCAAAAAATGCGATGTCAGCGTATACATACACCTGTACATCATGTTGTACTGGAATTGTGCACAATAAAATATTAAATAATAATGGTTAAAGTACCGAACCTTGGGGGAGACCTCTAGTTTGTGTATACTTTGAAGACGACATGCCAGATTGAGAGCAATAGAATTCTCTATCTTTTAGAAAGGAGTAAACTCATGCCACGAAGTAATTTGGTAACCCGATGTGCGTTAGCGAATTTATTAGTTAAATGTGTCCACACTGTCATAAGCTTTTGCAATATCTAAAGTGACTAAGGCGGAACCCTGTTTCTTAGAACGAGCTAATTGTATCCTGCTTTCCAAATCAACATGGGCACACCAAATGGAGCAGCCACGCCTGAATCCAATTTGGCATGGGCTTAAAATTGAATTATCGTCCAACCAGTTGCCTATCCTAATGTGTAGAAGTCTTTCGATTAGTTTTACCAGATTAGATGTGAGTGAAATAGGCCTAATGTTATCCAAAGTAAACCCAGCTCCATGTTCCTTTAATAAAGGAATTGTTTTCGCGATTCTCCGCTCAGACGGAATCCACGAATGTCTAATGGAGTGGTTAACTATAGCAAGTGAATCTTGAGGTGATACTTTATGGATTATTTTATTACCGATGCAGTTATTTCATCGGGACCTGGAGCAGAATCGGGTAATATTTTCACTACTTGTGCTATTTCCGACGCTGTAACCTCTTCAAAGTCATCGCTGTTAACAGGGCACGTTTTGTTCCACTGAGCGTGTGCGATGATCTTTTCTTAGGCTTTCCAGATGCTATTTATACTGCTCATTTTCAGAGTAAAATTAATCTAATTTTTCAGCAAGCACTCACGCTTACCAGTAAATTTTCTAAGCTCTTGAGCACTTCGCCTTTCATTTGAAGCAAAACAAAACAAAACAAAAAACTGAAAATTTTCGTGTCAGCATACTTTTAAACTCGACAATTTCAAGGAAATGCAGACAAAATCAGCAGGCTGCTGCATTCAGCAGTCTGAAGGTGGAAGTCATTTGATTCACACCCAAATTACATGCTCTAGCACTATTGTGCATGAATGATCCGAGGTGTTTTCCACTCGCATTATTCGCACTGCACTTGATATCGCCAAAAGACGTTTAGTGCCACCACATACGAACTTTGACCCTACAGAAAGCCACTGCAACGGTGGTACACGTAGCGAGCATGAACACGAAACAAAACAAAAAAGTCACGCAGGTCCTGCTTACGCCATGCTTGCTGCTTCTAACACAAAGGTAACACAAGGCATTCGACAGAGAAGACAAGCGTGACATGGCGCCAGACCGAAGTCAAACTTTTGGAACAAGCACGTTGCGCCGTTTGAGAATGTTCACTCGACCATTTCGATAAGCATTTTAAAGAATCATAAAACGGAGGAAACAACGCCATTGAAAACGTGACAATTTGGCCTCCCACTGCAATGCTCATACCCATACCCACGATATAAACGGGGTGTGGGCACTAGCGCAGCAGAGCTTCTGTAGCTTTCAACTTGATCGCACTGCTTACCTTTGGACACAACGCGAGTTCTCAATAAATCGTGCGTGAATGTAAAGCAAGCTCCCCTGCTCAAGAACGAGATCGATAGTAACTCAACAGGCAAGGCATCAACTGATGTCGCGACTGAACACTGCTCACACGATCACGAAACAACGTGATCGTCACGTCTTTCGGCTGCGAAACTTGAGGCGCTGATGGAAAGGAATCTGAGGCGGACAGGAAAGAGCGCATTTCCTTTCCGCGGGATCGGCACTGATGTACCTTGAAATAGCGTCTACCACACTAGAAGGTGGTGCCGGCAGCATTGTTCTGTCAGCAACACCTTGTAGTTGACGGAGTTTTCAGTAGAACATAAAATCGCACAATAAAGGCGCTCAAGCAGTGAGCACAAAACAATCTGCGAAACAAATGCGGTAAGGGAGCGGCGATTCGGAATTTTACGCGCTACCACCGACATGGTACAAAAAGTGGCTGGCAAACGGGACGAAGCGTTGGCGCCACTCACCTTTCTAGTAAACGAACATATCCGTGCTCTCGAGCACCTTTGTTGTGGCCTCGATGTGCAAGACCAGGAGAAACTAAAAGCTTGCAATCAGACTCATAAATGGGTCACGACGAACACCTCACGGGTTTAAGCTGCCACAGTAATGAATGGCGACCGTACTTGGTACCGAAAAACACACACCTAAATGACATAAATGCTGCTACGCGTTAGAAGAAGCCACTGTCACCTCTCCCTAGATTTACCAAGTATGGTAGCGCCAATGCAACACATGCGGCCATGAAATGTACTTTGCAACTCGGACACTCGGACAACCTACAGCGCGTGCAAGGTGCAAAAACATAGCCTTTGAGATTTAAACTACCACAGACGTGAAGGGGGGGGGGGGGGGGGGGGGGTCATCTAAAAAAACTCATAGACGTACCTCAACTGATGGCGTTAATGTAGGCTTAGAGGCGTGCGCCGATACGTCGGCGCGCCACCGCTGACAGTTTTCGCTGCGCCGTCTCCACTGACGGCAACTGATCGGCGTGCCGCCGATGTGTTCTCTCGCGCGTCTTTTATGTACGTTTAATTTTCTTTAGTAAGCCTGTCTTTCTTTGCCAGTTTATTCTGCCACCAGTAAATCATCGGTCCTTTCTTAATTCTGCCCTCTAGCAAACGCATCACAATAGATTTGCCTGCCGGTTACAGTAAAATAACTGGACCAGAAAAACTTGTTCAGTGCTCCTAGTTAGGCTCAATATAAACGTTCATTTTAAGCTAACTTCAGGCTCACTGTAGTTAAGCGAATACAGGCTGGTGACAGCGCCAATGGTGTCTGGCTATCATCTATTTCACCTATTTCAACAGTGTCTGGCTGTCACTATTTCAAGTCGGTATTGAAATACCGATCAATAAGACTGTGAAAGCGAGTGAAGGAACGGTTACAGTTGAAATTGGAAGATCGGCGCTAGGTAATTAATGAAGAATTGCTTCTATGCATATGGAACAAACTTTTTTGTATATATAGCTCGCAGTCTAAACGAGCAAGAGCCAGCTCCTTGCAGCATGCGTATTTAAAAAAAAAAAAGTCAGTTGAGCCGCATTGGAACACAGCCTTTAAAAAGGAAAGCTAGGGGCAAACAGATGAAATATATGCTATATCAAACAAACGATCCACTTGGAAGGTTCTGCAAGGTCGACAATTGGGCGAGATTGCGATCACGATAAACTTCGTGTTAAGTACTGCACAGAACATGAATGCATGCGGGTACAAAGGGTTGGATGAGAGTATATATACTCTCATCCAACAAGGACAAGAGGTTATAATCTAATCTCTTGTCCTTTCCATCCACTCCATGCACTCGCCAGACGATCAAACTGAGTGTAATCTGCGCTTTACTTCGCCCGTTTTCTATCTTCGACTAATCGACTTACTAGATCGATTTGTCACAATGGTGTTTGAAACAGGAAATCGCTATACAACGAAGCTTGCTGTGCGAGTTGCTTCATAATCTTTGGAAGAAGAAACCAACAAAAGACTCAAAGGAAAATTACAACCACACATAACAAGCGCTGTACTTCAAACACAATGTTAATTGCAGAACGCAATAAACACACAACCCAGCAACGCGTAATAGGCTATCCGAGTCATTTTATAGTTGCCCACCGAACAGTACGTGTTAAGGTGCTACAAACACCCCGCCGCGGTGGTCAGGTGGATAAGGTACTCGGCTACTGACCCGCAGGTCACGGGATCGAATCCCGGCTGCGGCGGCTGCATTTCCGTGGAGGCGGAAATGTTGTAGGCATGTGTGCTCAGATCTAGGTGCGCGTTAGAGAACACCAGGTGATCGAAATTTGCGGAGCCCTCCACTACGGTGTCTCTCATAATCATATGGTGGTTTTGGGACGAAATCATTAATTAAGGTGTTACAAACAGCACAATTTAATAAAGCACTAAAATCTCGACGCCACCGTGAAATGACTGTGCAGCAACGCGAATTCTTCATCTGTAAGAAAAAGTGATATGATAAATGGTTTACACATGACGCTTTGCCATGTTTTATTTTGAAGGCGAATACTTTACGTTCATGATTATTTTTTTGTTTCTTTGCCAATTTTGCGCATGTGCTGATGTTTCATGGCTGTGGCGGCTTAAGTTCTTTAATAAATATTTAGTTGTTACGTACAGCGCTTGTGTTGTCTGGTTCCTTCGCTGTTTTCATGCTTTTGTTTGGTTTCTTATAATGGTATCGTTCACTAAAGATGGATGTTTATCATCATGCGAGTGACGTAATAACCCATTTTCCCGATAATTTTCCATCATGCGCATATACGAAATAACTTCATCAACGCACAGCGTGATCCATTGCACCATTCATCCACACCGATCAACCTCCTTTCAGCATGTTGTACGAGATATTCAAAGGTAGTCTGAATTGTACTTAGTGTTTTACATGGATCATCGTTATGCGAGTAATCGAATGATTGATAAAACTGCCAAATAAAAAAGAACCATCTTGACAGATTCAGAAACAGCATTGCACTCTGTAGAGATATAATATATCAGTGGTTGTAGAGGTTGTTGAAGTATTTTGTCCGGTCGTTCTGGCACACAATATTCGGAAGTCACTGTCAAGGCAGCTTAATTAATTGGATACTGAAGGAAACTTGAAGTTTATTTAGAATAACTACAGGACAAGCATTTTGCTACGTGACGAATATACCGTGAAACCAGACGAATCTTCCTCTCGGTGTTTTTTACTATAGCATTGCACAGTTTACCTATGGCGCCAACGTGTCCATTTCTTGATGTGAGTGGGTGGCTGGGTCATAGGTGTCATGCTCGTACGACCGCTGCAACAAAAAGACTGCCGCTCGCCACGCTCAATTAGCAGCCCGAGCTGCATGGTTGTCATCTGCCATGAGTGTCGCGGCCGGGAACCATTGCAATAGTTTTCGTCGAACAATGGGCTCATCGAACTGCATGCGCCTCACTTCCCATGTCGGCAGGACGATACACATACTTGGACAGCCATCAGCAGGCCCACAGCACTCCACTGACCTGTTCCTGAGGAAGAGGAAAGGTGACACTGCTTTCTCCGAGACTAGGCGCCTAACTCAGCAAGGTGTTCCGTCGACAAGTACATGTGTGCAATTTCAAAGCTACTCCACTTAAAAAAAAAAAAAAAAAAAGCTGGAAAATCTTCTATGACACTGGCAAAATAAAGTACTGTTCAGTAATGCCTGCCCCCTCCCCCTATTTTTTTGTTTGAAAGGAGAAAGAATTGTTGCATTTTTTGGGGGTGACGCATATCTACAACATCATGGAGGGGATTGCGGCACTTGGAAAGCCTTCGTTGAAAGACTGCAGCGTTGAGTCACCTGTTTAAAGGCCGCAGGGTTGAGTCGAAATGACATGGAAGTTAAAAATTAGCCCCGTACCTGCATGTCTCTGCAAATGTCGTCGATCGAAAGAGAGATCGAGTGAACAAAACGTTTATTTCATGTTCTGCGCGAGAAAATCAGTGAATTTTATTCTGGAATTCGCTGCGTCAGAGAGGCTCGATCAGTGCAGTGAAGGCATAGTTTCATATGAGCGAAGGCGAACGAGCGCATCGATGCATGTTAAAGCCCCTTTATTTAAGGCACGTTAGACACGAGCGCTATCTGGCAGTTATCTTCGAAAACGAAGAAAGGTGTGCGCGTCCACGGAGAAAGATGCGCGCCTGTCTCGGGGGCGATAAGGTGTAGAACGCAAATAAGCGACGGGCAGGTGCCACCACCGTGTCGTCTTAGCAAAGCGTTGGAAACCCTTGCCTTTTTGAGCATCGCGTTGCAGGGTCAGCGCAGCGTGATATGCGCTACGGTCCTTAGAATTAATTATGTGTGCCATCTCTAGTATAAAGACACACATACAAAATTTTGATGTTTTGTAATAATGCCTCAGATATGCGCAATAATTGCTTTTGATTGACAAACGCACAAGTATGAACGCTGAAACTTGAGCAATATTGGTGGGCGCTGCGGATTAGGTTGGCTGTTTGTGGTATCGGAACAACGGACAAACAGACAGAGAGATAGACAGACCGAAATTGTTGCGTCGGAGTACCCACACCCTACGGTCTTAGACACTTTTGTTTAAATGCCTCATGTATGTTGTGCTTTGTCGTTTGTTTTTGTGCTTGTTGTACGATAATTTCATAGGTTTGTTACGTCCCACGAATCGATAGAATGAACTTTTTCTAAACACACAGTACCCCCCCCCCCCCCCATCGACTTCAAAAATAAAGAGATAGAACTTCAGGGGGTGGTCAGGATCGTGGTATAAGAAGGCGCCTAATGTCTGCAGCCTGGTTGGGAGCAAGGCACAGCGCATGAAAGTGCATGGGTACAACTACAGGTTTTCCCGCTCACTTTAATCCAAGTGCCAGACTAAATAATCTGCACGCCATTGAAATAATCTGAGCGCCGAGCTATTTAATTCATGTGCCAAACATTTAATCCAAGCGCCAACATATTTAATCCAAGCGCCAACTCACTCGGGCCGCGTGCCATTGAGTTTAATCCAAGTGCCACCGTGTTTAATTCAACTGCCAATGACTTTAATTCAGGTGCCAGTCAGTTTAATCCATGCGTTAGAAACACACAGTTAGCCACTATATATAGTATAAATGTCAGAATAACGTAAACGCGTCACAGCAAGAACTTTTCCCTCGGCTATACATGGTAGCGCTTATGAAATGAAGTGCTCAGTGCGACTTCCCCTTAACATTTTGGTGTCATAGCTTCAAAATAAAAAAAAAACAGTCAGTAGTAATTGCATTTATGGGTAATTAAATGTATTTGCTCATAGAGTCCATGTTAGTCTTTATTGCGTTGCTACTGCTTCATTCCGGTTAACCATCTACACAATCGCATATGCATAGATTCGTGTCGTCTGCTGAGCAGACGGCATTTGGCTACTTATGCGCTGAGGCTACCGCAGTCGTCTGCTCAGCCCAGGGAGAACAGTGACCGACAGATGATATTCATTCGTTCTTGAAATCAGAAATAACCACTTAAAAATACCAAACTTGCATTTATTTGGGTTCATGTGGAAATAAGTTTTTATAAAAGCATCAAAGTAGATACTCCGGTTTTCATGTAGCAGACGACGCTTAGTGTAGCTGAAGCGTGTTTACTTGAAACGTGTGTTTTCATACGGGCACATTTGCAGACGAAGAGAGAGCTTTGCTTGAAGTCATGGCTGGACGCAAACGAGGACCACACTTTAAGAACCCCGACGAACATCGTCGAAAAAAGAGCAGAGTATTGGTGGTCGATAGAGCTAGAATTGTGGACGTTTACAGGCGTGGCGGTGACTTAAAGCAACTGGCCGACGCTCTATAGGCATCAACATTAAAACAGCAAGATCGATTGCCGCTACCGACAGAGAAACATCAAAGCATGGTGGGGGTTCAAAAAGGAAGTTTGGAGATGACGTCGTGCGTACTTTGAGACGAATTGTCGACGGAAACTGTACATTTACATTGAAGCAAATAAAGGAGGCCCTGGAGAAAGAAATGCCAGGAGTAACAATCAGTGCAAGCACAGTCCACCACTTGCTGGATGCCCACTGCTACTCGATGAATCTAGTGACGCAGAGGTATGGTGGCTAGAATTGGGAGGTGACGCCAGCGCCCGCATATTCGCCGAGCGCGCGCGATCCTCGTTTTCAAGCGCCGCCGCGACGGCCACCACGGCGCTCCTGTCGGCATAGTGATGCGGGCGAAAGCGCGCGCTCTCTCGTCGACTCGCCGCTGGGTTCGCTGGTTCGCCTCTGGAAGCGTGTCTGGGTGTGTGCAGTTTTCCGCGTTGATGTCTCGCTTATGGCAAAATGTATTTAGTTGCTGACATGACAGTGTGAGTGCCGACCTTAGGATGAACTCCAGCACTACGAAAGCGAGGCAACGCCACTGCTTTGCTCCTGGCTGCACGAGCGGCTATGTGTCATCGAGGGAGCAAGGTCAGCGTGCTTCTCTTTTCTCTGTTCCCAAAGACCCTGCCCTCTTCGAAGCCTGGCAACGAGCCGTACCCCGTGCCGACAAGTCGTTGGACGTGAAGTCGGCGCTATGTGAGCTTCATTTCGACGAGCAGTTTATTGAGCGTTTTTACACGCATGTGATAAACGGCGAAACTGTTCAGATTCCCCGAGGGAAACCGGTGCTGAAATCTGACGCGGTGCCAACCATATTCCCAAATGTTCCTGCGTATCTTTCAAAGAAAGTGCCGAAGAAAAGGACGTCAAGAACATCCACTTGCGGCCTACCATCGAAAATTCGGCGTCAGGAACCAAGCACGTCTGCTTGCGAGGAGACAGCTGGCTCGTACAGCACAGAAAGCGACAGTAACCAAATACCTGTTCCGAATGTGCCCGCAATTCCCGACGTCCGCAAGTGTGGTCTTCCCAGCGCTTACTGGGCTCGACATCTAATTGCTGGAGCCGACAACGCCACGGTGTTTACAGTTTGCGCACTAGATGGTGACAAGTTGACTATTGACAAGTATGTGCTAATGACATCAGATGAAAACAAACTTCAAGCGACAGCTTTTGTGCAAGCCACAAAAATAAAGACCCTTGACATTACCGACATCGAAATGGCAGAAGAGTTGCTTCGCGACGTCGACTCCATGATACCATGCAGAGGGTTTGGTAAAACTGGTGAATTTGGAGTGAATTTAAAGTACAAGGAGAAGACTTTTGATGGCAGAACCTTCAGCCCATCTTGCCGTGGGGTTGCTCCACCGCCAGAAAAAGCCTGCCCACAATGCAAGCACCTCAGAAGACTACTCCTGAATCGTGAGTCCTACAGGCGAAGAAAAGGCAAAAATGTGGCCCAGTCCCAAAAGCTTTCATACAGGCTTAAGCTGCGAACAGCGCAAGCGAAAAGGAGTCGCCTGAGTGTCCTGCAGGCTAAATCACTCAACAAACAAATGAAAGAAAAGAATGCACGGAATGATTCTACAGCATTTGAAGAAGCGATGAAGGCCCTACCCATTAAGCAGCAGCAACAAGTCAAGGCGTGCTTTGCTGCGGCTAAAAGAAAATCCACGAAAGGGATGAAGTATGAAAGTGAATGGGCTCTAGAGTGCCTTATTATGTCCATGAAAAGCCCACGCCTCTATGAGCATATACGCAAAAACAACATCATGGCGTTGCCTTCTCGAACATCACTACGTCGATATCTCAAGCGTTACAGGAGTGGATTCGGCCTGAGCGAAAAAGTGTTTGCTGCTGTGGCGGAAAAAACAAAATCTATGGACTTGTTCCAGCGCCATGGTGGGCTGTTAATTGATGAGATTAACCTATCTGAACACTTGAGCTTGGGAACCGATGGCACCATCGAAGGTTTTGTGGACCTTGGGAAGTTCACACCAGAGAGTGAGCGCTCCGTAGCATGTGACCATGGCCTTGTAGTATTGTTCGTGCCTTTTACAGGCACGTGGCACCAGATTATTGGTGTGTTCGCATCACGCAGCAATGTGAAGTCCGAGACGTTAGGCAAAATAATCCTCGAAGCAGTAGTCATGAGCGAAAACGCCGGTCTGCACGTAGACTTTATCACCACTGATGGAGCTGCGTGGAACAGAAGCATGTGGCACTCATTCGGCATACACGGCAGGAAAGAAAACACAGTATGTAGAAGGCAGCACCCTACAGACCCAGAACGTTTTCTGCACTTCATCTCGGACTTCCCACACCTTCTTAAATGTGTGAGGAACACCTTTGTTCGAACGGGCGTGAAACTGCCAGAAGGCCATGCCAGTGTTGACCCTATTGACTGTGCCCGGAAGCTTGATGAACAGCATGACACGACTCTCAAAGCCATGCCTCATATTAGCAAATCGGTTGTGCATCCCAATGGCTTTGAGAAAATGAGGGTAAATTATGCAGTGCGGCTTTACAGTGATGAAGTCCTCAGAGGCCTTTTCTTGTACAATGCAACCATCGAAGAAAAGCATGGGAGCACAGCGGCGACAGTCAGCTTTGTGGAAAGAATGAGAAGGCTCATTGAGGCCATGACTTCA